GGGTGAGAAAACTGTGGCACACAAAGGTTATGCCATATGCCCATACTTACAAGGCCCATCAGTGGTAACACTGTGATTTAAACCTGGGCATCCTGGCTTTAGAGTCTGTGCTCCTAAAGCACACTACCTTCCACAACTTTCTGCCCACCTAACGCCTCATCCCACCAGTAACTTACGTGCCTGTAGAATCTACTGCCACAGCCCGGACCCCACCACGATGACAGAGAATCTTTGCCAGTGGCTCCTTCATAGCTGGACTCCATAAAGACACAGTACCTGGAAGAGAAGAAGCACCAAAGTTGCTAATACAAACCTGACCCTAAGGTTATTAAACCTGGGAAAGATGGGAACTCAAGACCAAGAGATAACAAAAAAGGGAAATAAAAGGGTAACTTTAAGAGACTCATGAAGTATAAATATAGAAGAAACGCAAGTCAGGATGGTCGGAGAGTCAAAACTAAGCCAGGTACTGACCATTGCTGTGTCCGAGATGGATGACAGCATTGTAAGGGTTCTGACTCATGACATCGAGCCGCCCAGCTCGAGCATTCAGAGCTGCCACGATCTTCCCCACTGATACATCCAGGTAGGTCAGAAACCCTGTTTCTGACTGAGAAAGAGAGAGACAGAGAGAATGACCCAGTCCTGATTGCCCTCTGTATTCCCTCTCCTGGGGTCCTAAAGGAGAAGTGGTCATCCCAAGGGCTGCCACCCAGTTCCTGAGCTCCACGGCCACTCACAGCTGTAGCCAGGAGGAAGTGGAAGGGCAGAAACTCAAGCCGTGTCACTCGGTCACACCGGCGGATACAGTGGAGCTCAATGCCCTGATTGTCATAGATGTGGAGCCAGCGGTTCTGGGCAACAGCAAGCAGTGCCTCAGAATGGAGAAACCTGGGGGAGAGGAAGAGTGGTTCAATTGGGAAATGAGGTCACAGGCTATCATTCAATCAAGGATGGACTATCTCACCCTTACTGACCGCTGACAATGAGGCCACTGACCGGATGTCCCGCACTGCCTCCATGACGTTGATCTCGCACATAAGCTTCTTTGTTACCCAATCAAGGGCAGCCACATGACCTCGGCGCCCTCCAAAAGCCAGGTGTCTGTTGGAGGTGAGGGGCAGGCAGGGTGTTAAGGCAGGGGACCACCGACTCAGATGACTTGAGGTCTGCCCCATGCCAGCCCCATCTCTCCAGGTGGGCAGACACATGTTGCTGCAGGTGCTCACCCGCACACCCAAGCAAATCGAAGGACCCTCCCCTCATCAACAACCCAAACATACACTGCGAATGGCTGAAGTGGGCATGGCTAAAGTGGTTAAGGAAACACATCTTAGTTCAAGAGTCACTAGAATTCAACCTTACCTTCCAGTTCGAGAGTAGTTTAGTCTGTAGGGCCCAAATTGCCTCAGATTCAAGTCAAAGTGCTGGGAAAGAGAAGAGTGGAAAAAAAAAAAAAATGAGTACCCTGCAGGAACGCCTTCTTCTAGCCCCCATTCCTCTCTTGTCCTGACCACCAATCAATCCCTTGGCTCCTTTACCTCCTCAGGCTCACCTTGGCTGCACTTGCAATGTCCACAGCCTCCACAATGTCAGCCTGGCATATCTTTGCTGTGTCTTCCCCATCCTCCCCTTCCAGAAACCTGAAAGCAAGGGTTAGGATAGCAGTAAAGTTTCCCAATATGAAGCAAGTGTACCCACATAAAAACGAGAAAAGACAGTCCTATAAGGCAGGGACTGGGGGTCCAGATTAGGGCCCACTCACCCCGGTTCCTCAGCAAGCAGCAGCTCAGAACGAGCAGCTTTGATACTTGTTTCCTCTTCCTCAGCTTCAGCCACCTCAAGTCGGCTTCGAGTTTTGGCTTTAGAACGTGGTAGCTATAACATTGTTGGTGGGGAGGAGTGGCAGAAGAACCATAGGATAAGTGGGGTCACAGGAGAGCTACCTAGCCCATCCTCCATTCAACTCACCCAGACACTCCCTGCCTCCAACACTTCCCAACTCTCCGGCTGGACCTCACCTTTCGGGATTTGTCAATGCGACAGAACTTCTGGACCACCTCCACAGGGACGGGGGCGGGGCCTGGGAATGGATCTTGGGCCTAGGGGAAAGGAGAACGCAGTTAGTAGACAGCCTTGGATTGACCCCAACCCTTTCAAAGCACAAGGCGGCCTGCCTCGCCACCCATTAGGTTCCACGTTCACCCCGGACAAGCTCCGCTGGGACTCCGGGTTCTTCCACTCTCGGGGTTTCTTCGGGACCTGAGGCTTCTTAGAGATCCGAGACTTCTTTAATATGTGAGCATTTTTTGGTCTCTGAGGACAGAGCTCCCGATTCCTCTTGTTACAAGGAGGCCCTGGAGAGGCTCCGTCTGTGGTCGGAACGGTCTCTTCCTCCCAGTATCGCCGCGGTTTCTACAAGCAGATCAGGAACTCTGATACTCCGCACCCACGCCCCGCCCCCCCGACCCCGCAGCAAAAAACTTCCTTTCCCACCCAGGGAGGCCGATACCTTTCTCTTGGTCTGAAGTTTGTCTTTCTTGGGCGGGACATCCCTGCCCGGCTTGGGGGCTGTCTCCATCTCGCCCACCCGAACGGCGATCCACGTGCAAAACTCCTCTCAGCTGCCCCACAGTCGGCTTGAAAACTCCCGGAAGCCCTCTATCCTTCATCCAATCAGCAGCGTACCAGGTCAGAAGCTCTCTAGGCGCCATCTTGAGTGAGGGCACGCTCTCCTTAGAGGGGCGGAAGAGCTCTTGGCACCTTATCGGGAGCGGCAGCTTATGCAAGAGTGACTTACAAAAGAAAGGTAGGCCCGGGACCAGGGGCTAAGTAGCGGTGCGGTTTCTTTTTCCGGGTTAGTTTCCCCATCTTGCCTAAAAATATCCGAGTCCAGTCTTTGTAGCAGAACTCCACTCGCTAAACATGTCAGAACTACACTTCCCATCAAGGGTCAGAAAGAAACTTCCGGCGCAGTCTTTTCCCGGCATTCCTCGTTTACTTCCGGGTTTATTACTACTGAAAGCAGAACGTGAATAGGTTAGGATTTCGGTTGAGAGGCTTACGGTCTTGCGTTTCGCCCACCATATCCTGGGGACGGGGTGGAGGTGGCGGTGCGCCTCAGGGCTGCCTCTCAAGAGTGCTATCATTTCCGCAGGCGAGATCAGAAAAGGGAGCTCAGGTACCTTCCAGAGAGTGAGACGCAGCGCCCTTGTCTCGCTCCCCGTAGGCTTTCATCCCCGCCATGGCGGAGCTGATCCAGAAGAAGCTGCAGGGAGAAGTGGAGAAATATCAACAGCTACAGAAGGGTAAGGGAGCAGGGTCGGTATGGCCTCGCCCAATGCACTCACAACCCAAAGCCATTACCGAGATAAGGTTTGTTGCCCCATCTGGGCCCTTGCGTGCAGAGACTTTCCCGCTTCAGTACTCTTCCCTATTCACTGACCCGCTGCCCCCATCTTTTTCTGCTTCCTCAGATCCATATCCACCTGACTAGGATTGATGTTTCTAATCTTGCCTTTCCTCTTATCCCCAGACTTGAGTAAATCCATGTCGGGGAGGCAGAAACTTGAAGCACAACTAACAGAAAATAATATCGTGAAAGAGGTGAGGGACTGGGATTTGTGGGGCGAGGAGGGACCTGTACTAGCCATGGTTCTGATCACGTATGTCCCATCCCTCCATCAGGAACTGGCCCTGCTGGATGGGTCCAACGTGGTCTTTAAACTTCTGGGTCCGGTGCTAGTCAAACAGGAGCTGGGGGAGGCTCGGGCCACAGTAGGAAAGAGGCTGGACTATATCACAGCTGAAATGTGAGTCTTTATTCCACCACTGTGTGCTGCACCCTGTGATGCAAGTGAACCACTGGAGTAGAGGTGTTGAACCATTGCAGAACAGCTCTCCATAGTGGCCCCTAGTCCTCCAGTTCCTCCAACCCCTTCCTTCCCTTTTAACCCCCCTTCTCCCTTCCCTAATCTCAAGTTTTCCACCTATCTCTTTCTTGCGTTTAGCACCCTCCTTAGTAAGTCCTACTAATTTCTCCCTTTCTACTTGTCTCCCTTGTCTCTCTTTAGTAAGCGATATGAATCCCAGCTCCGGGATCTTGAGCGGCAGTCAGAGCAACAGAGGGAGACCCTTGCTCAGCTGCAGCAGGAGTTCCAGCGGGCCCAGGCAGCAAAGGCAGGGGCTCCTGGCAAGGCCTGACCCCTTGGTGGGGGGAGGGGAGGGGAGGGAATGAGGCAGCTCTAGCATCTATACTGTAGCTAATAAAATGTAAAAACACCTGGCTCTGTTTCCTGACCAGGCGCTTCTGTCATATTCCCACAGTCCCTTCCACCTTCACACACACCACCTGTATTACCCCCTCAGGTTCAAACTCTTTCACTTGGAATTTCTTTGTGGCACGATGTTCTTTCTTTCTTGAAAGTGAAATCCTAAATGTCCTCAAATCTTCTTGCCTGTATATACAACACTTAACTTTCCCTCATCTTGGTTGGCATGATTATTTTGGAAGGGCATTTACAACATAGCATATTACTAGGAATGTCAGTCAATTGAAAAAGAATTCACAGTTCTCTAACCTGAGGCCCCAGGATGAAATGTGGTTACCCTCTTTGCCAGCAGCCCTGGCATCTCTATTGGTACTTTTCAGCCTCTGTCTTCCTAGAATTTGCTTGAAGGTAGCTTAAACTGACTTAAAATCCCAGCACGTAATGCTTTGTAGTGTATAAGTCCTCCCAAGTTTATATGTTGTCCATAAAGTTGTTCTGCCATTTCCTTGTCCTAAAATTGTTTTATACACATTTGCAGCAAGGGACCAGTGGTTACTGAAGAAAAATTGTTCTGAGGAAAGTTTTTTCACCAATACCTCACTCACTTTTTGCTCTGTTCATGGGGATAGAAAACATTGCGCCCCTTCCTGTTCCATGGCATCTACCTTCAGCCAATTCCCCACCCCCACTCATAGCAGCCAGTTCATACGCACTACAAGGACAGGGGAGTAGAATTCAGGTAGTGTTTTGGTTTATTATCTTAGTGTTGTCACAGTGATAGAAACCCCCAGAGTGGGAAGAAGAACTCCTGCGAGGACCTATTTTTTGCCATTTCCCTCTGCCCTGGGGCTCAGAGCCTTGAGGCCTTTGCTTAGCCCTTTGCATATTAGGATATGGCCAAGAATCAGAAACTGATGCGTTTTTTCCAGCACTACCTGTGTGCTGCACAGGTAGGAAGCACACACAGGTGGGAAGCTGCACACAGGTATCCAACTTGGTTATAAGACACCAGTTCCCACAGGGCTGGATTTCTCAGCTGTCTGGTAAACCAGTGGTACTTCACTGCCCCAGGATGGCTGGCTACCTTTCTGAATTTCTGTGTCAATGTGATATAACTGCCACCATTCAGGATGGCTACCCACATCTGGTATGAACACCATGACTTCTGTAAGCCAACGGGGCTTCCTCCTCAGAACAGTGCCCGTGCAATCTTCCTCCCTGTGGCCTTGATCCTGGGAAAGGAGCCCCCTCCTCCCTCACTCGGAGGAGTTCCTGAGGCAGACGGGCCACTGGTGACGCCAGGTGTAGCAGCAGAGGACCTTCGCCGCTGCCGCAGGAGGAAATCGTGTGAAGCTCCATCCATGGCGTAGAATACGTTAGCCGAGGCTGGGATAGTCAGCTCTGAAGGTTCAGGGGATGGATGTCAAGCACAAGCACAGTCATTCCCCCCACAGCCGCCCAGATGTGGAAGCACTCCACTCTCCTCCCGAGTCTGCCTTTCCCTCGTGGCCTCTGACCTCGCTCCCCTGGCAGCAGCTGTACCAGCTCATACTCTGAAACCACTGCAGAGTCACGATTGTTTTTCTTAAGGACACGACTGATGACACTTGGAGCCTTGTCCTGGCTTGTCACCTGGCAGGACAGGAGACCAAAAGAGCAATCAATCAGCCATGAATTCCCATCCTTCTACCCTTAGCCACTGAACCCAACCACAAAAGGTTACTTGTGTCCAAGGCTTTAAAAGGAACAGGGAAACCCAATACGGTGGCTTCCTATACCCCATAAGCCAGCCCACATGGTGCCCAGTGAAACAGAGCTGCTTGCCTTTGGGGAAACTGCTGTTGATTCTGAAATTTTAATATGGCCACCAAAAGTTTAAGGTGTAGCAACTAATGCAAAATAGCCATCAAAATAAAACAAATTTCAGCTTGTATTGAAGACCAGAGTTTACAAGATAAAATTAAAAATAAATAAAACAACTGCCAAAACCAAAAGTCAAAATTAAAACTACATTCAATTCCATTTGGTTGCCCAAATCTCAGACATTTATAGTCCAACAAGACACCATCCTTCACCCCAACTCCATCCCAAGGCTCCCTCACCAAAATGCTCTTATAGACACTGCCATCTTCCCCCAGCTCCATCTGGACTCGGATGATTCGGCAATCAGAGGCCCCTGGCCCAGATCCCCCTCCCCCATATCCAGTCCCCCCGGAGGCCCCTTCTGCACCCCCACTCAGCGGGGAGCCACAGGAGGCTGAGCGGCGGTGACCTCGAGAAGGCCTAGGGGAGGAGGCTGGTGGGGAGAGATGGCTGGGGTCAGCTGGACTGTGCAGGGATGGACTGCTTTCCAGGGCAGAGTCTAGTGACGAGACAGATGGCCACTTCATGTGCTAGGAATAAACAACATGGGACTGGCATGAAGGCAGGGAGATTAAGGAAGAAACATTTACAGAGTGAGGGTCAGCGTCAAGGTCAGAGTCAGGAGCAGAGCTCACCTGGGCCAGCCGAGTCAGCAGAGGAGCAGGAGTTGTAGGCACCTCATCTCCCGCCATACTGGGCCGCTCGCAGGACACAAGCGGGGTAGGGACCCCAACAGAGCCCAGAACCCTACAGTGGCAGGAGATTGGGAGGATCAGAAGAAAAGTGGAAGTTCCAAGTAACCATCCCCCAGCCAGTGAATCTCTCACTCTGTCCACTGCGAGATGACCAATGTTGGCCGAAGCACCCGTGGGGCAGGAGGGTCACTGGAACCAGGTGGCTCCACCTCACAGGATACACGATGGCTGGGTTAGGGGGCAAAAGACAGAGTTCAGGACATGACACCAATCCCCCACACCTGGCCAGAGCCCTAGAGTCCCAACCTCACCCGCCAGTCACCTCTGAGCCTCTGTCAGTGGCCGGAGCCCCTGTAGCCACCTCTGGATATCATGGTCAGGTTGGAGGTTATAGCCACGACATTCATTCTGGAGCCGTCGCAACTCAGAAAGGACTGCAAACTCCTGGGAAGGAGCCCTCAAACTGCAGGAGCCAAAACTCAGGGACACCTGACTTTCCCCCCTCCCCTTCCGGGAACATGGATTGAGAAGTCCAGCATCCAGCCCAGGCACTCCACTCACCTTCCTCCGCTTGTCAAAATTGATGTATCCATTCTGCGAGGAAAATGGGGATGGGGTGAAAGTTCTAACACTACCTTCCAGGCCACAGAGAGAGAATATCCCCTCTCTTAAACACACACAGCCACATCCAACTCACAATCACTTCCCTCTAGCCTCTCTGACTCTTCCATCCCTCCCTGCCTTCCCCCTCAATCTATCATGGCCTAAGCACTGCACTTGACCCTTGAAATTTAATATCTCAGGTAGACAACTAGTCTGCTTTGCAGATGAGAAGACTGGATAGTATCCAATTGGATAGGATTCCTCATCCCGAGAGGATAAGGAACTTGCCCAAGGTCTCAGTATTTGTTTATTTAACAAACTCTAGCAATAGAGCAGTACCCCATCACAAAACCTAGATGTGCTTACGTTTCAGGCATGTTCTAAGCACTTGACAAATACGAATTTATTTAACCCTTATAATAACAGATCAATGTAGATGCTATTTCTAGTTTCTCACTTACAGACCACTGAGGCGACTTCGCACAGAAATAGATCTGGCTTTGTCCTACACTCAGCTATTTGTGCCTTACAGCCCCTTGCAAGGGGGGGATCTGTCGGACCCTGCAGCCCACTTGTTACATCATCATAATGACACACACACACACACCACTGACCTCCAACTCATCCTTGGAGGCTGCATCCAGCATCACAAGGTCCTTCAGGAAGGTGCCAAGGTATGGGACTATACCCTGAGGTCAGGGGTCAGGGTCAGACGTGCCTGCCATTGATGTGAGGGCCCTCCATCCCTCTGCACTTGCCCTCCCCATTGCCTCAGAGAACAGATTTCATTCTCCTCACCCCTCACCCCTCTGTGCCTCCCTTACCCATCCTTCAGGCTGCTCCCCCAAAACATACTCCTCACCCCTTCATAATCACAACCCCCAAGCCCACCACCCAGCTAGTCACTCACCCCACCCCGGGAGCCAGACCTCGGAGCCTTCTTGGAGTGTGGCTCCAAAGGAGACTGCAACTTTACCTCCTGGTGGTGACAAAATAAAGAGACATGGGGGAGCAGTAGGGAGCAGGGAGAGGGGGAAATGCCACAAACCAGGCTCTCACCTGCACGAGCAGCTCCCGACTCTGGGAATAATTATCCTCCTCGGAGAAAATCTGGCAGAGGCTAGAAAAGACTCTGAGGCTGTCCCTGGGGGAGGGAGAAAAGTGGCCCTGAGGACAGGCCTGGCTCTGTCACCCCCTCTTCCCTGCCTTCTGAGGAACCCCCACCCCAGTCCAATGCCTCAGCCTCCCCACCTGGTTGCTTCCCCCCAGGCTGCCCGAAGCCTGTGGATGGGGCTGGACTGCAGGGCTGACACCACAGCATAAACTGAAGAGAAGTTTCGGAGCAGCCGGCACTCCTGTGGGGGTCAAAGAGAGCTAAGACTATGGGAGCCCTCTCCATGCCATGGCCACCCACCGTGGGGCAATGTTCTCTCTCACCTCCGCCACGCGGATCCACTTCTCCAGGAGGCGGGCCCTCTGGGGGGGACGGAGTGGCCGTATGGTCACCTCCCCAGGTCCCTCTCCGGTGGAGGTAGCCCCCAGGACAGAACTAACCACTGCCCCTGCCACCTTGTTGAACTGTGTGACAGTAGCTCGGACAGATGGGCAGAGGTGAGAATGTCCTGGCCGGTCTCTGTGACCCCACAGGCCTCCCAGGCACTGAGAGGGGATCAAATTGAGAAATAGCTCCTGCAGGGTAGAGGTAAGAGGTTAAAGTTCATAGTCAAGTGAGGTCAGCCTTCCAATATTAGGGATCTGAGGATCTCAGGTGGCCAAGGAACCAGAGGGGCACAGGGTTTGAAGGGTAACAACCAAAGGGAAAAAGGGAAAGTCAAAATGGTAGGTGAAGGAGGCTAGGAGCTGGATCAGGAAAGGGTGGAAGCAAGGAAAGGATCTGGAGTCAAGGAGAGGTTAGTAAGGGGTCAGGGGGCATACGGGCCAAAGGTCAGGGTCTCACCGCATCTAGCAGGGTCAGCTGTTCGGCCAAGTGGTCAGCGAGGAACACCAGGACATCCGTGGGGTCAGCAGGGGGATCGCCGGGGAGGGCCAGGGGCTTAGGAAGGTCGGGGGCCTGAGGGTCCACCCGGGACCGGAGGTTGCGGATGAGGTCAGCGCTGCCCCCCCCAACACCCTTCCCTGCTGCATACCCTGTCTGAAGTAAGAAGCTCTCAAGCCGGTCAAGCTGACCCTTGGCCTCAGAGCCAAAATCCTCAGGGTGAGAGGCCAGCCAGGTTGACAGCACAGAGATGGCTACCCTGGGAGAAGGGAATCAGCCAAGGGTGAGAGGTAAAGCTGCAGCCTGGGCAGAGTGGACTGTGAGATTAAGAAACAGGGGTCACTCACTCTGTTGTCCTCTCTAGTTCACCGGTAGGATGAGATTCAAGGGCTTCCAGCCTGAGGGGAAGAAGAGGATCTATCTGTCCATTTTCCCCAAACCCCCAGTGGCCTTAACTATTTTGGTGGGATGTTGGAACTTTAGGAAATCTGGACAGACACTCCACGACCCTGGGTCCCTTATGACTCTGACCTGTCAGCCATAAGTCCTAGCAAGGCAGGCGTCGAGGTGAAGGCCCGGTGGGTGGCCAGGAAGGCTGACATGAAAGTCCCATCAGTCCCTGATGTCCGGGTATCCAGTAGGTGTCTGACCAGGGCCTCCAGAGTGCCAGCTCGGAGCCGTCGGGAGGAACGCGGGGGAGGCATAGGGACCTGGAGGACACAAAGAGATGATCACCAACGCTTTCTCCCACTCTGCCCCTAGATTTCTGAGGACAATCCCAGACCCAGGAGATGTTCCAGCCTCATTTTTCTGATATTCAGAGAGGGCAAAAGTCTTGGCCTATGTCATACAGCGGAGTCCAGGACTCCAGAACTCCAACCTAGCACTCTGGCCAGAAAGTCAGCCAGAGGAAGGGAACTGAAGAGTCAGAGGTGAGAAGCTAAAGTCATGATCTCACCAAGGGATCAAGAGGTCGATATTGGCGGCTTGTGACGGTAAACACGGCACCATCCTCCTCCTCATCCCAGACGGACACAGGGGCCTGCAGGAGCAAGGAAGGGGAAGTCAGACAGTTCCATATCACCCCCCACTGCCCTCAGCCTTCACCCCAGGCCCTGCTTCTCCCTCTATACCCCTCACCTGTGGTGGCAGGGCATAGTACCAGCGAGTGCGAGGAAGGGTGGGGGGAGCTGGTGACCCCAGGTCTCCCCCACTGGGGCCCAGACAGCCCCACCCCAGTCGCCTCAGGGCCCCGGTGGAGTCGAAGGGGCTGTAGTGGAGGCGTGGATGGAGTACAGGAATCCTGATCCTTTGGAGACCCCCAAAGCCCTTTCCCCCCAGAGCTGAACCCACACACGACAGAGAAGCAGGGTACAAAGAGCAGGAGAGGGAAGCGAGAGGCAGCAAGCCAGAGGCAGAGACTAGGAGTAGCTGAAACCTCAGTTCAGGCACTGCCGCATGCCCCGCCCCTCCCGGCCAAGGACTAGACCAGCCCAGAGCTTTAGTCCTTCTCAGGCCCCCTTTCACCCTGGTCCCTCGGGTAGTGCCTCCACTATCTCAGCCCTAAGGGACCCCTGCAGGTAGCAGCTCCAATCCCAGTCTAGGAAGGAAAAGGGGAAGTGGGATGATGGGGGCTGGGGGGCGGTAGACTCAGAGAGTCACGTGGCCCCAGTCCCTCCCCCGACGGATCCCGAAAAACCAGCCTTGCCAGTCAACCTGCCCTCACTTAGGATCTGGACCTAGGAGTTCAGGGCCTCGGGGCCCCAAATCCAAATTCTGGCCCCTCCTGAGGCCTAAAATCCTGCTCCTGGCCACCACCATTAATCCCTAATGAAAACAGGTAACCACTCTCTACCCACCCTAGGATCGTTCCTCCAGGTCCCAGAACCGTGGCTTCCCTGCCTCTACCCAGGATGGGGGGGGGGGTGTAAAGGGGAGGGAGGGAAGGAGGGGTCACGAAATCTGAGGGTTCCCTCCCCAATCCCAGAGTCAGAGGAGCTGGTTACTGTGGAAACAAACCCCTCCCCGCCAAACAAAAACAAGGAGGGAGACAGGGGGCAAGACAAGACTGCTCAGAGAAGTAGGCACACTCAGGCAGGCAGAGGCAGAGGGCCAGAGACCCGCAGGGACAGCCAGCCAGAAGTTCCAGGCAGGTTCCTGCGGGCAGGTCCTGAGTCACACTGACAGAGAACCACAGAGACGCCGGGTCTCCCCGCAGCAGAGAAACGGGCCGACGCCCAGGGAGGCGCGAGAATAACTGAGGCAAGGAGGAGGAGATGTAGGGACCCAGAGACAAGAGAAAAGTGGAGACTTCAGAAATACATCCGCCCCCTACCTCCCACCACCCGCGTCTCACCTCTTCTTCTTCCTCCTCCTCTTCCTCCTGCCCCCCGCCCACGACCAGGCCACCTGGGCCCCCACCCTCATCGGGGTCCCGGCTTCGGAAGCTGCTCAGTACGACTCCCCCTGGGGGGCTCGTGTCCAAAAGCAGCCGCAGGGGCCGCGGGAGCATGGCCGAGTGAAGGAATCAGCGGGGTCGGGCCATGGGGGCGCCTGGGGAGAGACGGGGTGGGGTGGGGGTGGAGAGTCAGGTGGGCGCGGGGGAGCCGGGCAGGGAAGGGACGTGGGTGGGTGTCAAGAAGACCGGAAGGGAATTCTGCAGGAAGGCTGGGGGAGGGGGGCAACAGAAGGGTGAAATAGGGTGGCCCTTGGTGCAGTTGGGGGAGGAGGGGGTCACGAGTACGGGGACGCGCAGGGTGCTCAGGCTCTGACCTGCTCGGGAGGGGTGGGGGCAGCGTGGGTCCTGGGCCGCTGTTGCCGTCGGTCTCCGGCCCCGGACCAAGTCCCCTCCCCGGCTTTTCCGTACCCCCTTGAACCCCTCCCGCTAGGCTCCCGGGCCCTTCCGCCCTTTCCGCTCCCCCCCGCGTCCGCCCGCTCCGAGAGCAGGAGCCAAAAGGGGAAGGAAGTGAGGACAGGAGCCAGGGCCGCGGACTAGGGGAGCGCCGGACGCTCAGGGACCAGGACCCAGGCGCCCGAGTCCCCAGCTCCACTGTCCTCCGCCTCTACACTCGGGGATTCTGGAGACCACGTCGCTCCGCACTGAACTGGAATAAAGATTCCAGTCTCCAGCCCCTGGGGGAAGGCAGGAGCAGAATCTGACATTCCCTTCCCCAACAATAACACGGCTAAAACTCCCGCGGGAAGCGTTTCAGGAGGAGAGAGAGCGGGTCACTCCATCCCCACGGGATTACGCTCCCCACCACAACCCACGAACTCCGCTGACCGAAATCCCGGCCGCGTTTTCCGAAGGGCCCTCGGTTCCCGCCCCCTCGGCAGGGGGCGGGGCAGGAAGCAGCCACATCCGGTTCCAGATTCGGCTCTTTGGGGCTTCCGGCGCCGAGGCAGGGATCCCTGTTGGCTCGGCGTCTCTTTGCGGTTGGAGTACCCTCCGCTTGAGCGCATCTTATGCGCCAGTAGTGGCGCCCGACCCCGAACGGTGTCGACGGGGCGTACTCTGAGGGGTTCAAGGTCACTGGAAGGGACCAGAGGTGATTGGAATATTCATTTTGCTTGGAAGGGGGTTGGAATGAGAGGCCCGTTTGGAAGCACTGGAATACAACTTTATTCCCACACCATTAGACGTGTTACCCCGTCGGTCTGGCCGACAGTCCTGACTCGGAGATCCCTGAGCTGCGTCGCCGCTTCCTTCGTCAATATCCAGCAGTTCTTTGATGAGCGCCCTCCAGTGGGGCCTTACGTCCCTATGCCGGCGCGGGGTTACAGCAGTGGACAGACAGGCCGGTCCCTGTCCTCGAGGAGCCCATGATCCGCGGGGAGACAGGCATTTAACGACGACTCACATGATCACTTAAAATACAACTGTGGTGAACCGCACAAGAGGCACGCGCGGCGGTCTGCGGGGAATGACGAGGCCGACCTCGTCTGCGACCCAGGGAGGCCGAGGGTGGACCAGGCAAAGGGAACAGAGGGCTGGGAACTGGAGGTGGGCGGCAGGCGGTTGGTTCATTGGAGGAAAGGAATAGCCCTGTGTGTGATGAGCATTGAGAGGAGGGCTAGCGAGCACCATCTTGGGCTGGAGAATTAGGCAGTGGCTCCAGTGTGGGGCGGTGGGGGGAACACGTGGGCCAGGGCAAGAAGAATGGGTTTGGCCCTAGAGCACGGGTTCTCCAAGTGTAACCTCGGCCCTACAGGTCGCTGAGACTATGTCAGGGGGTAGGTGAGAATGACTATTTTTTATAACAAAATTAAGATGTTATTTGCAACCGAGCGCGGTGGCAAACGCCGCTAATCCCAACACAGGGAGGCCGAGGCGGGCGGATCACGAGGTCAGGAGATCGAGACCATCCTGGCTAACACGGTGAAACCCTGTCCCTACTAAAAAATACAAAATTTTAGCCAGGCATGGTGGAGGGCGCCTGTAGTCCCAGATACTCGGGAGGCTGAGGCACCAGAATGGTGTGAACCCGGGAGGCGGAGCTTGCAGTGAGCCGAGATCTCGCCACTGCACTTCAGCCTGGGCGACAGAGAGAGACTCTGTCTCAAAAAACAAAACAAAAAAAGTTTTTTGCCTTCTTCATTCTATAAGAGTGTACAGTGGAGTTTTTCAGAAACTACATGATATGTATTGACACCATGGTTCCCACAATGAATGGAATGTGTGCCTATGTATTCTCGTGTTTTAAATTTTTCTGTTTTAAGTTCTAGTACCAAAAATATTGATAGCTGTAACCCACATACCCAAAAGCTTTTTGGAGTCCTTGATGATTTTTAAGAGGTCCTGAGAGAAAAAATTTTGAGAACCACTGTCCTAGAGCTTCAAGAAGGTGAATGCCATAAGATGTGTGTTTTTTAAAAAAGCATTTCTTGGGCCTGGTGCAGTGGCTCACGCCTGTAATCCCAGCACTTTGGGAGGCCAAGGAGGGCGGATCACCTGAGGTCAGGAATTCAAGACCAGCCTGGCCAATGGTGAAACCCCGTCTCTACTAAAAATACACAAATTCGCTGGTGTGGTGGCATGTGCCTGTAATCCCAGCTACTCCGGAGGCTGAAACCAAAGAATTGCTTGAACCCAGGAGGCGGAGGTTGCAGTGAGCCAAGATCACGCCACTGCACTGCAGCCTGGGCAAGAAAGTAACACTGTCTAAAAAAAAAAAAAAAAAATTCTCCCTTGTATAAGGGGAAAAAAAAAAAAAGCATTCCAGCCACTCAGTGGAGAGAGATTGGAGGGAGTAGGAACAGATGATGGGGTATTATTTTGGGGAGCTACTACAGACGCTTGGGCCAGAGATGATGGTGGCTTCCACAGGATGGAGGTGAGTGCCCTCACTCTGCTTTCTGGAAGAGAGGAAGGTGGTGAGGAATTCAGAATATTAGAAGGCAGTTGAGGTGTACATGGTTAGTCCAGAGACATATAAACTATCATGGGCACAGATGACGTGAGAAGGATGAGGCTAACATTTTCTGCCCTCCAGACACTCTGCTGAGTGCTCTATCTCCTACATCTTCTAAAGGAGATACACTGTCTTCCTTAATCCTCCTAACAGTCCTCTCAGGCTCCGCTGTCCAATATGGCAGCCACCACCCACATTTGGCTATTGAGCATTTGACATGTGGCTAGTCCAAACTGAGATGTGCTGACTGTTTAAACACCTGCTTTCGAATACTTAGGGTGGAAAAAGGGCTGCAATTTCTTTTCTTTTCTTTTTCTTTTTTTTTTTTTTTTTGGAGACAGGGTCTCACTTTGTCACCCAGGCTGGAGTACAGTGGCACAACCTTGGCTCATTGCAGCCTCGACCTCCCAGATTCAAGCGATCCTTCTGCCACAGCTCCCCAAGTAGCTGGGACTATAGGTGTGTGCCACCGTGCCCAGCTAATTTGTTTTGTTTTGTTTTGTTTTTTGAGACAGAGCCTCCCTCTGTTGCCCAGGCTGGAGTGCAGTGGTGCGATCTCGGCTTACTGCAACCTCCACCTCCCCGGTTCAAGCAATTCTCCTGCCTCAGCCTCCTAAGTAGCTGAGATTACAGGTGCGCACCACCATGCCCGGCTAATTTTTCTGTATTTTTAGTAGAGACGGGGTTTCACCATGTTGGCCAGGCTGGTTTTGAACTCCTGACCTCAGGTGATCCGCCCACCTCAGCCTCCTGAAGTGCTGGGATTACAGGCGTGAGCCAACTCGCCTGGCCAAGATTGTAATTTCTTTTTCTTTTCTTTTTTTGAGACAAAGTTTTGCTTTTGTCTCCCAGGCTGGAGTACAATGGTGTGATCTCGGCTCACTGCAACCTCCGCCTCCCAGGTTCAAGCAATTCTCCTGCCCCAGTCTCCCGAGTAGCTGGGATTACAGGGGCCCGTCACCACGTCTGGCTAATTTTTTGTATTTTTAGTAGAGATGGGGTTTCATCATGCTGGCCAGGCTGGTCTCGAACTCCTGACCTCAGGTGATCCTCCCGCCTCGGCCTCCGAAAGTGCAGGGATTACAGGCATGAGCCACCGTGCACAACAGCCTGTAATTTCTTATATTGTTTACATGTTGCAATAATGTTTTGGATGTACAGGTTGAGTATCACCGGTCCAAAAATCTAAAATCTGAAATGTTCTAAAACCTGAAATTTTTTTAGTGCCAACATGATGCCACAAGTGGAAAATCCCACAGCTGCCCTCATGTGATGGATCACATATATTATTAAAAATATTGTGGCTGGGTGCAGTGATTCACACCTGTAATCCCAACGCTTCGGGAGGCCAAGGCCATGGGCGGATCACCTGAGGTCAGGAGTTCGAGACCAGCCTGACTAACATGGCGAAACCTGGTCTCTACTAGAAATACAAAAATTAGCCGGGTGTGGTGGTGGGTGCCTGTAATCCCAACTACTCGGGAGGCTGAGGCAGGATAATCGTTTGAACCCGGGAGGTGGAGGTTGCAATGAACCGAGATCACACCATTGCACCCCAGCCTGGGCGACAGAGACTCTGTCTCAAAAAAAAAAAACAAGGAAACAAAGTCTTCAGGCCATGTGTATAATGTGTATAGGAAACATAAATGATTTCTTGTTTAGGTTTGGGTGTGATCCCAAAGATATTATATATGCAAATATTCCAAAGCCTGAAAAAAATCCAACATCCAAAAATACTTCTAGTCCCAAGCATTTCAGATAAGGGACCAGAATTATTAGATTAAATAAGGTATATTATTAAGTTAATTTTATCTGTTTCTGCTTTTTTTTTAATGTGACTACTAGATTATTTAAATTTACATATGTGGCTTGCATTATCTTTCTACTGGACAGCACTGCCTAAGTAACTTTTTAAAATCCCTACACCCAAGGAAACAGATATAGATTAAGTAGCATGCACAAAGAGTCCTACAGTTAGGATATAGTGCCAGGTTTTAACCCAAATCAGCGTGAATTCCAAGCCTAGGTTCTGCCTACCACACCAGCAGCCTCCCTCCATGGGTTTTGAGATAGGATGAGGAGATAAAGTGACAAGGGAAAGATACAGAGAGGTGGAGCAATGTACCTTCTTTGAATCCTTGCAGGTGGACAGGTAGACAGCTGTGGGAAAAGATTGAGAAGGGATGGGATGCCGGAGTGGTACAGGTGGAGGGCAGAGGGATGGGTATCAGGTTTCTGGGAGTAGAGCGGGGAAAAGTCCACCAGCCTCAGGTCATGGTCAGGGTGGGGCTCACACTCACCAGCCCAGCCCAGTGCCTTGAAGAGCCCGAGCAGAAAAAAGGCAGACAGGAAAAGGCCTATGCTGTCCTCGAGGGAGGGTCCTGAGAGACCTGGCAGGCAGAAGGGATGAGAGTGAGCTCCTGTCTTCCCGAAGGCTGGCTCAGGCTCCGCGGAGCTCCCAGCTCTTACCTGCTACCTCCAGGGTGACCTCAGCGCTGCGCCCCGAGGCAGGCAGGCTGGGATGGTGAATTCGACAGGCATAGCGTGCCCCATGCTGCTCAGTGGTGACTGGAGGCGGCTGCAAGTGCCCAGAGAGGCTGACAGAGCCATCGGAATGGTGGCGCAGGGCCGAGAGCCACCTCTGCCCCTCGGCCTTCTGAGAGCGGCCCCCTGGGCCACCCCGGAGTTCCCACTCCACCTCCAGGCCCCCAGGAGGGTAGAAGTGGGACACAAGGCAGAGCAACTCCTGGGGTGCCTCCCCTGGGGCGGCCCATGCAAGGGTTGCTGGCATCAGGGACACTTTGGGGGGTTCTGGGGAAAGAGGACGAAATGAGCATAGGGAAATCAGTCCATACTGTCCTCCCTAAGAGACCCTTAGTTTGCCTTCTGGCTTCCTTAGAACTAAAGAAGGTTGGGTTTCTTCTCCTGAAATGGGGAACCCACTGTCTCTCCATTGGTGCATCACAGAAATACCCATGCCAAAGCGCCTCAAATTCCCAAGAACCCTCTAGCCTCCCATTACCCCTCTGACTCCCAGGAATCGGTTTCTATCTCTACTTACTTACCCAGGCACCCTCTTCTCCATCATCCCTCCCCCATCATGGTCCCCACAATCCAGTGCCCACCCTCTACCCTTGGAGACCTCTGTCCCCCAACTCACTGTATACAGCAAGCTCCAGGGTGACCTGTCCTTGCAGGTATGGCAGGTGTATGGTGGCCAGATAGGTGCCCTCCTGGAAGGGTTGAACTCTAGGCAGCCAGAAGGTCCCATTTCCGGTCCATGGGCCCCATGGCTCATCATCATCCCAAGCAGCAAATGCCACAGCCCCTTCTTGGGCTGCTGGCATCTGGCCATTCAGCCCAGGAGTTGCAGCCAGGAGCAGATGTCCCTTACCCAGGTGCTGGCGTCGCCACTCTAGCCCAAAGGGAGGGGGACCCGCAGCCAGAGATGAGGCGGCCTCAGAGGTGGGGGGCATGTAGGCAAAGCTCAAGTCCAGCAGAGCATCTTGTCCCAGTCTCACTCGAGGGGCAGGGGTATGGGTGAGGACAGTCAGTACCACTGAGGATGATAGGGAGATGAGGGGTTGGGAGGGGCATGAGGGAGAAAAAGAAGGAGAAAAAAATAGAGAAATGCATTATTGGGGAGGACTAAACTGCAGTTTACCCACCCCTCAGAGGACACCTTTTCTGATACTCACCATTTCCTAGCCCTCCCTGCGAATTCCTTTTGCTCTGCGACTGAGTGGCACCTAGTGTGGCTGAGGGTGAGCAGAGAGGTCTAGGGGTGGTGAGTAGGGGCAATGAGGGTATATGGCCTTTGAAGCCTACTCTGAACACATAGCACACTCAAGCTTGGGACTGCAGAATCTGAGGTCACTTCTGACACAACCTGAACCACTCTATCTCCAAGCACCACCCTTGAGGAACCAGGCCTTTCTTGAGTATGGGTGAAGACAATGATTGAGCCATGACTGTCAGTCCTGTGGTGCTGTACAGAACATTTACTGACTCTAGAAGGTTACAGCTATAGCCTAGACCTGAGCACAGACCTCTATGCTCTACTGAAGCAGTACAGTGCAGTGGCTAAGTGCCTGGAGCCTGGCTGACCTGGTTCAAATCCCCTCTGCAGCTTATTTATATGGCCTTGGGCCACTTCATTTTTCCATGGCTCAGCTTCCCAATCTCTAAAATTAAAAGTTGATAATAATAATAGTACCTACTTCATGAGGTTGTTGTGAGGGTTAAATCATTAATACCTCTTGCTACTCAAGTCTATTCAGTTCCCAATTTTAGATAATAGAGACACCTAAATATCAAGGGTGCTTAGAACACTGTCTGGAACACAGTAAGTCTACACACATATTTGCTATAGTTACACCTAATTTAGCATACCCCAAGTCAATAGCATCTCTGCAACATTCCCCACCCTGCTCCAATGCCCATCTTCCCTGTCTTTGATGAATGATCACCAAGCTCACCAGACACTAAAAGCAAACCCTTGGAGTTACTCAGATTCATTTACTCATTCAGCAACTATTGAGCACTGAAGATGTTCAAGGTATCCTGGTAGAAGACAGAATGGTGAACAAGACAGGCAGTCCCTACCCTCAAATTGCCTACAGTCCAATGATAGACAAGCAAATTGTCAAAAATTATGTGCTATGTGCTTTCCCCACCAGGACCTAACAGATCTCATATCTGTTTCCAACTCAGGTTCTCATCAATGTACATTTAGACAATTATAACAGCCCTCCTGTCTGATCTCCCTATTCCTTCAACTCCTCCTTCACACTGTAGCCAAACAAGGTGACTACAAGTCTGATCCCATCATTTACCTGTTTAAAAATCCCAAATATGGGCCAGACGCGGTGGCTGGTTACACCAGACGGGAAAGCTGAGGCTGGGTAACCTGAGGTTGGAGTTGAGACCAGCCCTGACCAAATGGTGAAACCCGTCTTCTTACTAAAATACAAAATTAGCGGGTGGGTGGCACATGCCTGTAATCCCAGCTATTGGGACTAGGGCAGCTAGATTGTGAACCAGGAGGGCGAGGAGTTCCAGTAAGGCCGGAGGTTGGTGCCATATGCACTCCAGCCTGGGCAACAAAGAGGAAAACCCCATTTCAAAGTTAAAACAAATCCCAAATACGGCTGGGCGCAGGTGGAGCTCTCTCCAACACGTTGGGAGGCTGAGGGGGTGGGATTACCGCTGAGGTCAGGAGTTCAAGGACCAGCTTGGCCAACATGGCGAAAACCATCTCTCTATCTAAAAATACAAAAATTAGCAGGGTCCGCGTGGTGGGGCAGGCACCTGTAGTTCCAGTACTTAGGAAGCTGAGATGGAAGAATCACGTTGAACCTGGGGAGGTGAAGGTTGGCAGTTAAGCCGAAAAAATCATTGCCACTACACCTCCAGCTGGGCGGACAAGAATTGAGACTTCTGTCTCAATAAATAATAAAAATAAATAAATAAATAAGATAATATAAAATAAAAATTCCCACATACCTAGAAGTCAGTCCGATAAAGCATAGACTGAAAGTCAAATGGGGCCTGGGTTCAATTTCTAGCCCTAATTTGTTTTTTTTTTTTTTTTTTTTGTTGTTGGAGGATGGAGTTTGCTCTGTCGCCGGCTGGAGGTGGCAGTGGGTGCGATCTTTGGCTCACTGCCAACTCTGCTCCCCAAAGGTTCAAGTTGGACTTTTCGCTGCCTCAGCCTCCTGAGTGCTGGATTTACAGGCGGCCCGCCACCATGCCCAGCTAATTTTGTTGTTTTTGGCAGAGACAGGGTTTCACCATGTTGGCCAGCGCTGGGTCTCACACACTCGCGGACCTCAGGTGATAGAGCTGCCTCAGTCTCTCCAAAGTTGCTGGGGTACAGTGTGAGCCACCACGGCCTGGCGCTCGTAGCTGCTGCTTCTTATACACTGTGTGTCCTTGGGCAAATTATTTAACTGGTTTGTGTCCCATATTTCTCCATCTGCAATATAGGGATAATATTAAAACCTACGGCCTATGGTTGTTGAGAGGAATAAGTGAGATTATGCATATAAAGTGCTTAGAACAGGGCCTGGCATATAGAAAATTCTTGATAAATGTTAGCTATGACTGTTTTCATTACCTTCATCATTGTCATGGACTTGCTGGTTAACTTGGGAAAATCATTTATCGGGTATTTTCCCCACTAGTCCAAAGATCTGACCTTTGTCTTTTAAAAGAATCAAGTAAAATAACAGGTTTTTTCTTGGCACATGGTGGCTCACACACTGTAATCCAGGCACTTTGAAGAACCTGAGGGCGGTGGATTACCTGAGGTCCAGGAGTTCGAGAGCCAGCCTGGGCCAACATGTGAAACCCCATCTCTACTAAAAATACAAAAAACAAGTTAGCTGGGTGTGGTTGCGGGTGTCTGTAATCCAACTCACTTGGGGGGCTGACGGCAGGAGAATTGCCTGACCCCCAGGAGGCAGAGTTGCAGTGAGCAAGATTGTCCATTGCCACTCAGCATGGCGACAAGAGTGAAACTCCGTCTCAAAAAATAAATATGTACATAATAAAAAACAGGCTTTTTAGCCGGCGCCACGGTGGCTTACACCTGTAATCCTAGCACTTTGGGAGGCCGAGGCAAAAAAACAAAAAAA